CTAAAAACTACCGAAAGTCATCGATTAAAGCATGTAGTTGTCAAAAAAATAAATCAGGACGAACACACGTTACAAAGTTTTCTGAATCTTGAGCAAACATTCAAGTGAATGAATGAACTTAAACTGCTGCTGCGACACCAAATGTCATGTTTACATCGATTTTCTACCTTTTTTTTTTTTGTTCACTGTTTGAGCTGGAGCTCTTTTAACGACGCTGCTCGCTGTGTCCTCGTCTTCTGCAGCAGTAAACTCATACATCCACCTACGATGGATGTACACTTTGTTTTTCCAGGTTTTTAGATTCCAACCAAGCTAATGTTAGTAAGATGAATACGTCAGACACTCCTGAGTAACTTCCCTCTCAGACTGATGTATTTCATGTTCAGCACTCAGACAGTAATCAATCAGTCACGTTCTCATACTTATTGTTTCCTGGTTGCAGAACAAAGCTGCTCTGTTGTGTGGTCAAACGTGGACACGAGTTGTTTTTTTTAGCTAAAGAGTAAACCTCCATCAATTTTCTGCTCTTTTTCTACAGCCTGAGCTTTTCCAGTAGACTTTGGCTTCATGAGCTGAAAATGTATCCTAAAAACAAAAACTGCTGGTGTGATTGTAGGAGCGGGTTTTGAGTCTCAACTTCTCTGAGACAATAATTGAACATATGAGGTGCGTCAGAAAAGTTCCAGGACTGGTGTCACAAAAGATATATTTCAAACACAAACCACCAGTTTTCCCCTTCAGACGATCAACCAGCACGTCTACAAAGAGATTTGCTTCATTCAGTGCACGAGAAGAGACCAGAGTTGTGGCAGGACCAGTGGAGGCTGCGTCACCATGACAACCTGCTCACAGCGCCCTGAGCATCCCACAGTTCCTGGTTGAGAAGAACATTGCTGTGCAACCTCCCTACTCACCCCACCTGGCTCTGTTTGATTTTTTTGCTCTTCCCCAGCTCAAGGGGGTCATCAAGGGGACCTGTTTAGAAGATGTGGACGACATCAAGGTGGCTGTGATGACGGAGCTGCAGAGGATCCCACAAGAATCCTTCCAGGAGTGCATGGCGCCGTGAAGGCAGAGAAGGCTGGGAGAGTGTGTTAGACTCCAGGGGGATGACTTGGAAGTTTGGTTTGTATTTTGAATATATCTTTTGTGACACCAGTCCTGAAACTTCTCTGACACACCGTTTGTCATCATCATGCTCTGGTTCAGCTTTGAGATGATCTGATAGTTCAGGTTCGTCTTCATCTGCAGAGCTGTTTGTCTTTAAAACCCTCCAGTATCAAAGACCCTGACGGCCAGGTGCTGCAGCATCATGGTGCCATGGCAATAAGCTCTTATATTCATCACTGTTGGTGTTTGTTTGTTGCTGCTCCATTTCAAGCCGCAGTACCTCTGACACCATTTAAATAAGTAGTGATAAGATGAGATCGTCCTTTATTTATCCCACAGACATTTGTAGCATTACGGCAGCAAAGAAATGGAAAAATAAAAATACAGACATACATACATAAGTACTTGAACTGATGAAGCCTCTTGGATGAAAGGTGGAACGTCTTCAAGGAACTCAAGCAGGTCCAGTTGCTACCATTAGTCTACCAGAGTAACCTTGACCTGGAGGACTGAGAATCTTCAGACATACACAGCTACTGATTCAAATGTATCAGCAGCAGGTGGCATTCTCATGTTTAAAGTACATTTTTGTGTTTTCTGGCTCGACCACTTTTTGTGAGGAAAAGAAAAATGACTTGGTTTTAAAACTTTTCAAATGAATTTCTTCCTTTTGCTGAGACTTTAATCATTATTTATCTCTAATTTAAAAGCTGCGCTCAGACTGTTTTCCTCTTATTTCTGGATCTGAGAAGTGGCGAGAAGCAAACCCTGAACGCTGAATGACACAATGAAGCTTCACCTTGGTTGGGAGGAACACCTGGGCCGTGATGTTTTTCCTCACGACCTCGCGTGAAACTCCCACACAGCTCAAGTTTCAGCTTCAGCGACTTTGCGGCTCCGGCGAAGGAACCTTCGTCACTTTCTGCTGCTAATTATCTCCTCATCATCCTCCTCTCTGATCTGTTCTTCACTAATTACAACAGCTGACCTCCGACTGCTGTCAGCGCCGTGTGTGTGGGCACTCCTGTGTTACTAGTGTTGTGAGGACTTGGATGTTTTTGTGCAGTCGCATGAGGGACTTGAAAGCCCCTGTAATGCAAATCAGTTGATTTATTTCATGTTTTAAGTTAAGGATGTGTAAAGACTGGTTTATACAGCACATTTTGTGTTGTTTCATATTCCAAGCAATGAAACTGAAATGAAATGAAAACACAGTCAACAAAACTCAAAGTAAACCTGTGTGGACTCCAAAAGCTGCTGGAAATTATTTTAAAACGTCCTACGTGTGTCTAAAATGATTAAAAAACCTGTCCAGAAGTGCTGAAAACATATCCAAAATGTGTAAAACGGTCTAAAATTGCCCAAAATGACAATGAAACTTTCATATAACGGAAACTTAACTTTGGAGTAAGTTTGCATCAAAAAAAGAGCGAACTACCACCCGGTAGGAAAGTAGGAACCAAAAAACTGACCATCTCTGTGGGTCACAGCAGCTTTTCAGTCTCCACCGCTGACAACAACGTGTCCAGAACGGCACAACCTGTGGAGAACGACGTAAAGTCTGTCTGCGATGACATAAAATCGGTCAAATCTGTCAAAACTCGTACAAAATTATTCACAAAGTATCCAGGATGACTTCAAACTCGTCCAAAATGGCTTAAATTCATGTTTGCAGACCTTTTACGTGCACAACAAAGAAGCTACATAACACACCGAAGAAAAAGGAAGAAAATTTAATATGCAGTCGTGTCACAGCTAGTGACATGACAACATTAGGCTGCCGGTTGTCATAGCAACACATCCTGCTTCCTGACTCGGGAACATTGGTTCATCAGTCAGAGAAATATTAAATGTCAGAGCTGCAGTGAGAAGATCTGACGTGACGAAGAGTTCTAACAAACCCCGAAACATCTCGGTTCTGAAAACTAAAACGGCTCAACGTCGGGGTTTAAACGGTTTGTGTAAAACTGCGTCGCAAGTGTGTCGTCGTCTTCGCTGAAATACACGAAACCGGCATTCAAATTGACAGTGGTGTGATATGATTAAAAACAGCAATCAATCTGTGTGCACATGTTAGTAGTGAAGGTTGGATGGCACAACAACACAACAGCTCCTTTACATGGCGAAGCCCCGTCTTTACATTTTAAGAATAAAAGTCTTTAATCATTATCTTAACCTAATTTTAACAGAGGAAACTACGACACATTCAGTGTTTTTGTGGTCCAGGAGTCCTTTAGTTTTAGGTTCAGATGTACTTATTATTTTCAGCTTTCACCAATGACTTGCTCCTCTGTGCACCATCTTTGAGCCACGCTGCATTTATTCTATTGATCCAGTTTGTCTTTATTTTCCTATCGTATCGTCTCCTCTCGACTCTTTGGAAACACTGCCTGCAGTTCATGTGAAAACTCAGATTTTTTTTTTTTTACTTTTGGTCACAGCTGAGTCGATCATGGAGAGTTATTTGAGAGCAGAGAGGAAGTAGTTTTAGTTTTTCACAGAATCTGGTGCAAATTGTTTGCTTTTGGAGAATTTTTAAAATGAGAATAACCTGTGGAATAAAATGATTTCACTGAATATTACAATTTTAGGCTCAGATTTGGTTAATTAAGATATGTTCGAGGACTGTTGTAAAGACTGTTTCTGGCTGTTAAATGGTGCCGTTTCATTTGATTTTTAATGATTCTGTGGCCATTTGTTTGTCTTTCAGTCTCTCGACGGTCATGTTGTGGTCAGATTGGGTGTATTTGTGTCATTTTGTTTTTTTTGCAGTCGTTTTTTTGTCTCTTGATGTTCATTTGGTGCCTGGTCACATTACACGGCTGATAGATGGAGTCACTTGGTGATTTTAATCAATCATAGAGAATTATAATAAAGTCACATAACATGACATTTTATTAATCTTGACAGAAGTTCTTGAGTTTAGTAAATGGTAAACTCTACATGTTTGATGGTCAAGGTGTTTGCTATTATAACAGCTTTCTGCTCTATGATCCAGCAGCAGACTGAGTCATGTGAAAGCAGCTGATGTTTCTGCGTTGTGTTGTGCTGCAGGGCTCTGGGCTGCCTCCTCTATGAGATGTGCTGTCTGACTCACGCCTTCCAGGGGCCCAACTTCCTGTCTGTGCTGATGAAGATCGTGGAGGGAGAAACCCCGACGCTGCCCCCTGCGTACTCTCCAGACCTGAACTCTGTCATGCAGAGGTGAGGAGGACGTTCTCTGTGAAGCCACTGAGGGCCTGCGTTTCTGCACAAAGACAGCTCGCATTAATATGCAAATAGAAGGGATTTCTGCAGGGCTTCTGTCCTAAAAAGTCAGAAATTCTGACGGTGAAAAGACTAGAAAATACACGATGCTTCAGACGTTAGACCTTCACGTGGAAACAAAAAGCACCAGTGACATTAATGCAGCGTGAAGGTTTGAGGAAGAGACACACTGTCACAACCCAGCTGGTGGAAGGGAAAAGGAATTAGTTTAAAAGTAATAGTTATTTATTTAACAGAGTTTACAAAACAACAAAACTGAGGGACAGCAGGACATAAAGGTGCTCGGTTTACTTAAACAAACAGACAGAAGATGCTACTGACAAAACAAAAACAAAGTAAAACCAAGATCAAACAGAATAACGAAAGTGTTCAAGATCCAAGTACACAGAACAGCACCTTCCTACATGGGAATAAAAAGCAATCCTCTTAATGAGCCCTGTCCCACAGCAGCTTTTGGACGAAGTGCCTTAACCCTAGAACACTAACGTCGGGTGATTTTCACCCGCATGATTCTTATCATGTGATTTTCATTGTGTTGCTGCTGTCTGAGTTGAATGGGTCCTTGTTTAGCTTCAGGCTGCTCATTGATGTCATTAATGGTATGTTTGTTTCCCACCTCCCATCTATGGTTTGTTCAACAGGCATGCGCTTGGGTGATTTTCACCCAGCGTTAGTGATAGAGGGCAACATATTTTATGGGTAGAATTTACCCAATGTTAGTGTTTATGTGTTGAAATCAGGCGCTCTTTGCACTTTTCAAGGGAAACAACACTCAGGCCACATCCTCTGCCCCATTTCATCCACAGCTGTCATCCTGTCACAGGCTTAGTTTCTATGGCATGCTAACAAGTGATTAACATGTAGCTGATGTTAATTTACATCTGCAATCACTAGCTACGCAGATTTTTTTTTCTACTGAAGCTAAGCTTTGAGCTAGCTAGCTACAAGTGAAGCTGTAGCACTCAGAGAGAGGGAAAAAAAAGAAATGTCCAGAAAAACATTGAAATACCTGACTGAGAAGGAAATACAAGAGCACACTAACGTTAAATTAATAACACTATCACTAACGTCGGGTATATTTTACCCTATAAAATATTCCGGATAAAATATAGTTTACTAATTTTAACGTTATTGTTCTGGGGTTAATGAGGCACTGGTGCATTACAGCCACACCGCTGAGTGGGCAGCTCCAAACTAAACAGTCCGCCATCAGCTGGAATGTCTCATTGGGTCCTGAGTGATTGGCTTGTTGTCTCCGCCCATCTGAACCTGGTCCAATCGGCGACCGGCGACGGCACACTGCAATTTACATAAAGGAGAAACACAACAAAGAAGGAAGGGCCGGCAGCCTGAACACACACTAAACACACGAAATGTTAACTCTGTCGTGTCTTGATTAACTGTTGAGCAACATGCTGATGGAATTAAAGGACCAGTTCACTTTCAATATTACCCAGCAGTGTTTCCAGTCCCAAGATTTTACTGAGCTTTGATTACATTTTGAAGATACAATAATTTGTCAATCTTTTAAAGTTTGACTTCAGTAAAAGTGGAAAAGTTTGAGCAGCAAAATAAAGAACCAAACGTAAACATACTGATTGTGCAGCGTGGGGTATTTCAGAAGAGTAAATACTATATTATTGGAACATGATGCATTCTTGTGTTGAAGCTTTGTTTTAATATTACTGCTTAAAAATGTCTCAATCAAGTTTCATCTTAATGTAATAACATTAATATATCTTCATGTATTTGTTGGTCACATTTTTTTTTCTAAATATGCAAAGTAACTGAAATGATCAAATAAATGTCGTAGAAACTAGATAGAAATATAAAGAAGCAGCAAATAGAGACACACCTGCCCCCCCCCAAAAAAAAATCAGACTTAAATGTAGTACTTGAGTAAATGTACTTAGTTACTTTACGCCGCTGGTTTTGACGCTGATCAGCTGCTGTCTGTTGGTCTTTCTGTTAATCAGGATGCTGCAGAAACAACCGTCATGTCGACCGACGGCGGCTGAGATTCTCCGGAGCAGATTCATGGAAGAAAACATGCAGGTTGGACTCACATGTACAGAACGTTTTCCACCTCACAGCATTAAAGAAGTAGTCAATATTTACTTTTGCTAATCATTTTTGAAGTCTTAATTAAACTGCAGATTATTTTGTTCCAGCGAATTAGTTTATTAAATTTAGAAGAACATAACCAAAGTGCAAAGCTTTGGTCTAAGCAGCCTTTCAAATTAAAAGTAAGAAAAAAAAATACCAACAACAGCAGCTTAAATATGACATTAAATGTCTGCAAAGCAACTCAAATCCATCCCATCTCTTAAGAACAGCCACGAAGAACAGAAATGTTATATTCAGTAAATCCACAGCTCCACACTGCAACCAAAATAGTCAGAAGTGACCGTTTCTTGATATTGTGCGAGTTCGAACTTCTCACGCGAGTGTATGACGATCAGTAAACTGTTTTGGTTCCTCCTTGTTGCTGCTGTTTTAGCCATAGTTGTGGAAACTTGTCCTTTTTCTTCTTCACTGGCTCAGTCAACACATAAAACTATCCGTTTACCTGCTACGTGTTTCAGTGATGGAGCTGATTATTTAAAAACAAAAAAATAAAACCTAAATGAGGGCAGAGAGGCTGGTGGAGAGGAAAAGGCCTGAGTCACATATGGGCAGAAAGATAGAAGAAGATAAAGTACAGTATTAAATCTACAGTGGCTGAAGCAGTGCCAGGGCTGCAAAATTAAATGAAAACTAATCTCAGTCATGATTTCAACCTCCCACAGTAAATAACTGTGATCGACTGCAGTGTTGACATTTAAAATCCTAAAAAAAAAATCTGCACATAGAAAACAGCAGATAAAGTCGTGTGGTTTGATCAAGTCTGACATTAGAGCGCCTGATTTCACTCTTTTCAAAGTTATTTTTTTAAGGCAGCATCTTTAAACTGTGTAGTCTGTAGATAAGCAGATGTTCAGCCAGCGAGGAGCTTAATTTATCTTCAGCCTCTCGGAGATTAAATCAAACATTTTGGCTCCTACATCCATAAATGTGACGTCAGTATTGATCAAAGTAAATATTTGTGATTGTCATTTTGGCCAGAATTGTGCAGCCCTCATCGGTTGTACTCTGTCTTGCGTTATTCTACTTGCTTTTGTCAGTGTTAGACCTCATGAGAAAGGTGCCAAACAATTTACACTCACAGTGAAAAGTTGTTTTTTTTACTCCCCATACCCCGACAAAATCATTTGCTTTGTAATTCTCGCATAACTCATTCTTTACAACCAGAGTTATTCAAATCATCTGGTGAAAAATTCCTGTATTTATTTTTATTGCAGAAAAAGGAAACATCACAATGGCAGATTTTTCCAATATCGTGCAGATGGTGCACAAAAAGCAAAAGGTGGATGAAAGTTGGTCTAAATAACGGCTCTTCCTTGTAATCTGCTGTCAGTTTTTCTTACGAGGCTGAAGTCTTGGTGAGAGGTTTCCGGTTAGAGTGACTGTATGTCAGCGTAACGTCCTCTGACATGTTGGAAACGCCGTGTGTGTGTCAGCAGAGGATTATTGTCGTACACTTTCCCATCCATCTTGCCAGCTCCTCCTGTGTGGCTGTGCTCGGTACCTGGAGAGAAATAACACATTAGGGGGGTTTTATGGACTCGGTTGCCATGGTTTCCACTGAAATATCATTATGTTAATGTTATTCCATACTGCTCCACGGCTCTGTGGGATATCGCAGAGACGTGGTCTCAGCTGAGCTTCTTCTTCTTCTTCTGCTGTGTGAAAACACGTAGAAACCGGGGAGATCCTCACAGCTTCACCTCGGGATGTCCACCTTTAATATCCTCTCATAATTCCATATCGGGTCCATTACAGTTCTGTTACCGGTAAAATTCAATCAGGACCCAGCGAGAGGTGAAACTCAACCCTGAACCTACGTATTGAGACTAATTCGTTCTCAGAGCTTTAAAGACAGACTAATGCAGCAGCTGAAGAGGAAATGTGACGACCTGCAGCAGTGTGAGAAAAGTAAGAAAGAAACTGGAGAGGATTGTGTCGTATACAGACGTGCAGCGCACTCAGCAAAGAAAATCACTCTGAGACTTACACTTCACTAATTATAAGACTAATTACAGGAATAAGTAGCAGCCTTGATGGATTTTATTGCATTTTTGTGTCCGTATTGGACAGTAAAACTCGATTTAGTGGGTTGTTTGCAGCCGTGAAAAGCTGCTCTGACGGCTGACTATAGTTGGCTGTACACTCTGTACGCAGCAAAAAGCAACTGTTCAGCACTCATTCAGCAAACACGATGTTCCACATTGTAAAGAAATAGAAAACCAAAAACACAAAGCTTGAGCTGTACCCACAGTGGAACTCACTAAATCCCCAATATTATGCCAAGTCCAAACCCATCACACCAAAATCAGCCTAAAACCTGCGTAAAATCAAGTCCCAAACCAGTTTAAAACCAGTCCAAAACCAGTGTAAAATGAAGTCCAAAACCAGTCTAAGATCAAGTCTAAAACCGGTCTAGTGCCACTCCCACACCAAGTCCAAAACCAGTCCAAAACCAGTCCAAAACCAGTCCAAAATTGGTCTAGAGCCATTCTGAACTAAGTCCAAAACCAGTCTAAATTAGTTTACAATCAATCCTAAAACCAGTCTAAAATCAGTCCAAAACCAGTCTAGAATCAATCCTGACCCCAGTCCAAAACCAGTCCAAAATCAAGTCGAATCCTGAAACCAGTCTAAAACCAGACCAGAACCAGTCCAAACCCTCTGTGTTATTTATGTAATTGTCCTCACTGTCTCTGTCTTTACAGAAGATGAAGGACCGGTTTGTCTTTGTGTCGTCAGGAGGAGACAAAGATGCTGAACTCATCGCCAAGAACATGTAAGACGTTTTTTTTACCCTTCAGTCTTTTTCTCCTGCGTTTCTTTGCCACCGTCCGTCACCTCCTGTCCTGTTTGTTTTACCTCCATCCACACACCTGTGGCTGCACGACACCCTCGTCCCTTGCAGGTAACACGAAGTTTGCCTCATAACACGAAGGTTAATGTTGTACAAGGGTGTACTTTGACCCAAACCAAGACCTTTTCCTGAACTTCATCAAGACGTTTTGTTGTCAAAACTTGAAATGGCAAAATATAATGAAAGTCAGTGAGGAAAAAATGGTGCAGTGTACCTTTTACGCACCTTATGAGACTTTTTCAAAGGGAAAAAAACTCCTCTGTATCTGTCAGCTTTTATTATTGATGCTCAAGTACATCTTGCGCTTTTTTTTGACACCTGCAACTTTTATAAAACAGCAGTTTTTGACGCCTTGAGAATGAGAACGTGCTGTTCTTCGACTGAATGTGGCTGTCAAAAGTAGTGTAAAATTAGTCCAAAATCACGTCCAAAGCCAGTCCAAAACCAAGTTTAAGACCAATGTAAAACCAAGTCCAAAACCAGGAGGAAGACCAGTCCAAAACAAGTCTAAAACATGCCTACAATGTGTTCAAAACCCAGTCTAAAACCAAGTCTAAAACCAACTCTTAAACCAGCCAAAACCTGTCTTACATCAAGGCCAAACGCCAAACCATCATAGTCAGTCTAAAACCAGTCTAAAACCAGTCCAAAAGAAGTCTAACCTCAGCTTGAAGTGTGTCTAAGGTAAGTCTAAAACAAAGTCCAAAACCTGTCTTAAATCACGTCCAAAACCAGTCCTAGCTCCACAATAAACTCCAACAACCAGTCTCAAACCAGTATAAAGTTGCAGATGTAACACAGGATTTCTGGAGAATTTAGAATTGGCTTCCACCAATGACTGTCTCGAAAAGAATAAGTGGACGTCATGGGATAGACGAGTCAAAGCCCAGATCTGGATCCTACTCAAATACTGAGTTTGAAACAGGCAGTACATGAACAGTCAAACACTAAACCAGATCAAATTCAGCCTAAATCAGGATAAACCCAGTCCAAAACCAGTGTAAAACCAGCCCAAACCCAAATCTAAAACCAAGCCAATAACTAAGTCCAAAACCAAGTCTAAAACCAGTCCAAAACAATTCTAACCCCAGCCTAAAATGTGCCCAAAACCAAGTCTAAAACAAAGTCCAAAACCATCTCTCAAACCTGCCCAAAACCTGTCTTAAATCATGTCAAAAACCAGTCCTAGCTCCACAATAAACTCCAACACCCAGTCCCAAACCAGTATGAAGCTGCGGATTTAACACAGGATTTCTGGAGAATTTAGAATTAGCTTCCACCAATGACTGTGTCGAAAAGAAGTGGAGGTTATGGGATAGACGAGTCAAAGCCCAGATCTGGATCCTACTCAAATACTGTGTTTGAAACAAGCAGCACATAAACGGTCGACGTCCAACACCAAGCCAGTCTCAATCTATCTAAAACCAGGTCCAAAGCCCGTCTAAACCACACTAAAACCAGCTTTAAATCAGTCCATGGACAGTCTCCGTCTCTCAGCAGAATCACTGCCTCCACACTGATCTGATTGGACCTCCTTCTCCTTCTTCATCTGCTTTATTCTTCTCTGTTTCTACATCTCTTGCCCTCTTAATCCACCTCATGTTCCTCTTCTTCCTCCGTCTTTTTAAATTCACCTCACTTTTTCTCCTCTTATTCATCTTCCTCCCATCCTCCTCCTCCTCCTCATACTTTATTTCCTCTGCTTCGTTCTTTATTCCTCCTCATTGATATGCATTTCCTCCCCAGCTTAATCTTGTCCTCCTCCTTCTCACCTCGCTTCTTGCCTCCCCATCCGTCCCCTTCTTTTCTTCTTCGTCTCCTCCTTCCACATTATATTATTCCTCCTCTTCATTATGCTTCTCTCCTCTGTCCTGTCAAACACACACTTCTTTAACACACACTTTCTTCTGGCTGCTGTAATTAGAGCAGCGAGCGGCGTTCGAGTGTTAACCAGCTCAGTGTGCTGACAGACGACACGCCGCTAGCTGACACATAATCCATCCTCACACAGACACACAACACACAGACACACAACACACAGACACACAACACATAGACACACAACACACAGACACACAACACACAGACACATTTGTTCTTCTGTCTTTGTCAGAAAGGATTCCTGAGCTCCTTAATGCCAACGCCGACCCTGCATGAAGGGATTTAGTGGAGTCAACGTTTTATTCCCTGTTAATTAATTTACCACAGTTGTGTTTGCATTGCCTTCATTTATTTCAACCTTAATTGGTCGATTTGGGGCAATCTTGGATGGTTTTTTTAATTCATTTTTGATCCATTTTGTACAAATTGTGTGTCATTGTGGACGCATTTATTCTCATTTTGGACAGTTTTGGGTCATTTTAGACACATTTCCAGTTCGTCTGGACAAGGTTTTGTCATTTTGGGCAAATCTTTGTCTTCTTTTACAATTGTAGGATCATTTTTGGAGTCTTTTTGGATAAATCTTTGTTGTTTTGGAAACTTTTTGAGTCTTTTTGGATAATGTATTCCTTAGGTCCTGAACACCAACCCTGTGTGCTGGGATTCAGAGGTGTCAACATTTTATTCCCTGTTAATCAAATTTCCACAACTGTGTTGGTTTTAATTTAATTCAACTTAAAATTGCTCAATTTGAAGCCATGTAGATAGATTTTTGATAGAATTTTAGACCATTTTCAGGTCATTTTGGAGACACTTCAGAATCAGTTTTATTGCCAAGTAATTTTTACATCACCAGGAATTTGACTTGGTCCATTGGTGCAATGGACCAAGTCATTGTGTCATTTTAGGACAATTTTGTGGTCGTTGTGGACACATTCTGGTTTTTTAAAGACAACTTTAAGGACCTTTTGGAGGATTTTCCAGCCATTTTTAAGTTTTGAGTCATTTACGACTAATGTTTTGTGATTTTAGGCAGGACTTTGTCATTTTTGACTGAATTTATGTGTCATTCTGGACAAATGTTAGCCATTTTGTGTTTGTGGCATTTTTTATTTTATTTATTTTTTTGTCATTTTGGACAAGTTCTAGTGGTTTTAGACAATTTTGGAAGTCTTTTTTTAAAAAAAACAAAAAAAACCAAAAATTGCTACGTTACTTTGGAAAAAGGAAACTCATGTGTTTGTGAGCAGGCAGATGAAGGTTCACCTGCAGACGCTGAGGGATCGGTCGGAGGTGGAGAAGATGACGCCCAGAGAGAGAATGAGGCTCCGCAAACTGCAGGCTGCTGATGAGAAGGCCAAGAGACTCAGGTAACACTCATGTACAGATGTGTCTATCAACCCCAGAACATGATCAAAAGACCTGGTGAAGATGCTGCTGAAGCTGGTTAGAGAGTCATTATCCACAGTGGAACCAGTCCTGTACCCACATGGTCTGGAAGGAAGAAGACATCACTCCAGAAGCAACATAAAAACGCCAGGTTACAGTTTGCAAATGCACACAAGGACCAAGAGCTTAATTTTTGGCGACATGTCCTGTGGTCTGATGGTCCACTATCTCAATGTCTATTCCCTGGATGTTCACCGGAGAGGGAGGGCTGATTTGGTGTCAGCGAAAGTCAACCAGCAGCTCTTTGGTTTTTCCGGCATTAGTCCGGAGTCAGGGTTCATTTTTGTGACCATTGTGGGTTTCATTAACCGACGGGTATCAACAATTTCGTCCATGTGTGTGCAAACTTCTGACTGAAGAAAATAATGAAAAATTCTCTCTCGTTATTCTGGCATTTAGTAAAACCAAATAATTTTGGTAATCCTAATTGACCTAAAACAGGAAACGTTTAGTCACATTTCCTGTCAGATAGTGAGGAAAAAAAAAGGTTATGTGTTGTTTTGTACAGTGTACGTACACTTCTGGTTTCAACTGTATATACACAGATTGTTAAGTTCAAAGTAAAATGAGTATTTATTTATTTTTTCTTGTGTTAATATAATTTCGTACCAAAGCAAGTCTTGTAGTGTGACAGTTGAGGGCAGCGCTGAGCTGAAAGGTCAGGTGACTGATAATCAGATAAATTGGTGGAGGCTGTGTGTGATCTGGTGGATCAGTTGGAACAAAGGTTTCCATGCTGCAGGGTGACATCAGTGTGGAGGACCTACAGAGATGCTATTGGTATGACTGTTTAGCAATTTGAGATTCAATTTTGATTTAACTCCTGGTTTTAATTTGATAATAGTGATGCTATGTGGTTGAAGAAATGTTATTGCATTTAAGTTGGAGTTGTTTATTTTCTTTGAAATGTTTAAACCAATAACTGGTGTTATGTTGTGTGTTTAAAGGTTATCAACCTGCTACTGCTGCTGTTACTACCGCTACGACTGCTTTTGTGCTGCTATGTATGTTGTGTCATACTAATGCAAAAATTAAAGCAAAGCAAAGAAGAGCTGAGTTGCCCCAATCGTCATCCGTAACTACCTCCAAGCCTTTTTCAAGTTTAGGCAGAGCTGATGTCAGAACCCAAATAACTTGACACGGATAAATATAAAACACAACATCAGTGTGAAAATCAGATGTTTTTCTGAGCTCAAGCTTTTAGCCCTGATAGTACACTAAGGGCAGAGAGCTACACACAGAAACACAACAGACACATTAATGGGAAACACAGCAGGTTTAAATCAGCAGTAATGATCCTTTAATCCTGCACATTTGTGAGACAGATAGGCTGTAATTGTGTCGTCACTGTTCACGGTTTGTGTTGACTCTCCATCATGCCTGAGCACCGGCAGCCTCAGAATGACATTTTCTGCACAGATTCGGGTTTCCGTCCCTCTGAGTCGTCGTGTTAATCAAGTTTCATGGTGGCGAGCGACTGTTAAATGCTCGTTATTGTTGCTGTCTGGGCAATAAAGCGTGAATCTGCCACCGACAACCCGACGACACGAAGACGCGACGTGCAGATGGTGGACAGACGGAGATCACGTTGGAGGACAGAGACGACAGACGGCAAGTTTGGCAGCTCACAGTCTGTTTCTGGAAGACTTCTTCCCCGAAACACGACCCGAACATGTGTTTACTCAAACCGGACTCACTGAAATATGGATGGAGACAAACCACGGACGGCCGGGAAAACTTCTCGGACTAAGTCAAGAAACATCCATCTGCACGAGGGCAGTTCATTTAGATTGAGGGTGCTATGAAAACCAAAATTGCATTGTTACTATAAACTCTGAGGCTTCCTCTTATTTACCGTAAGATCTGAGAGAGATCAGAACACGTTGTGATCTCAGTAGAACCAAAAACTGTTCTATTCCTGTAAGTCAGCATTAAGGATCTTGTGTTGGTGATTTTGCAATGTGGAACGTTGGTCCTGCTTTGGTTCGCCCAAAATGAAACTGGTTTGGCTGTTAATCACAGTTTTCTATTATGAAAATATTTCAGTTTAGGCAACTGTTAGAGCCAAAGTTATAGGATACAGCAGAACTGCAATGTCACTTCAGTTTAAACTTACTTGGAACTATACACACACTACTTCCTCATGTGAACAATCAAAAACATGGAAACTTCAGACCCCAGAGTAGAAACTCAACGCAGCTAAAGTGAACCCAGTGTGATCACTGAAACTAAACTCCTGTGATTTCCAATCAGGTTTAACTGTCTGAACAGGGTTCTGAAAGGAGCTGTGAACAGCAGAACCCTCTCAGTTTTGGACTTCTGGGCTGTGTCCGTCTGCGTCATGGCTAATTTTCCTGTTGTAATGCCAAACCAATCTGAACACGGCGGTGGGCGGAGTCACCTGCTGCCTTATGCCAGTCAATGCAAATGATTTTGTGTGTCGGCGAGTGGCTCGCTGACCACACTAAGTAAAAACTTTAATTAATTCCCTTCAGACCTCCTGCAGCTGCGACGCCTTCCTTCACTTCCTGATTGAAGCTGAAGGACTTGAGCATCTGCTGAAGCTACGATGAAGAATCTGAATCATTTCAAACGGCCAAGGGCTCGACTGCAAAATCACACTTTTAAAAACATTTGATTCCATTTTTATTGTCAGACTTTTATTTATATGTGTAGTTGAAACAGAAATGTGTTGTTTTAACAGCCAATCAGAGCGTTTGACACAGGAAGAGTTGATTGATTTTCTAGTTTTTTAAGAAAAAATGATGAAAGAGCAGATTTGGAAAATAATTGCCAGAGGAAATGGAAAAGCCGACTGCAAGACTGTCCAAAGATGAGAGATTAAGGGAAATCACTGAGAAACTACAGATCAGTGAAACACTGTTGCATCAGTAATCAGGAGGAAAGAAGGAGTCATAATACCACTAATCAGAGCTGCAGTGGTCGACCTCCTACAGACAGTGAACTACTTTCACGATCTCGCTGTGAAAAACAGACAGTAGCTGCTTCAGACTTGTCACAGGGCTTATCAGTGGAAACTAGATGTCTGTGAAGCTCAGACAATGTAAAGGACGCTTCATAAAATCAACCTCTGTGGACAGAGGGAAAGAAAAAAATGACAAAACGTCTTGATGCAAGTTTGCTAAAGTTAATGAAAAGAAGCTGGATAAATGTTAGGAGCACAGTCTTTGGTCAGATGAGATAAATTAGTTTGGCTCAGATGGAGTCCAGCATGTTTGCTATGAACCTGAATGTGTGTCGATGAACCAGAACACTGGCAGACAAGATGGGTCGCAGTCTGCTGAGGAATGAAGAAGAGGAATTCAAATTTCAATTTAACAAAAACAAAAGCAAAAATCCGACTGTTCAACTCAGAAACACAATTTAGAATCTTTCAAATCCTCACGCTGCCTCTTTCCTGCTTCAAACACGTCAGCTTCAAGAACTAAATGTTCACCTGCTTCTACTGAAACAGACAATCAATGTTGTTCACTTTAATATTGTGGCTGGTTGGAGGAGGCGCACTTACTTTAGAAAGTAATTCCCCTTTTGGCACAGTTTATAGTTTTGTAGATGTAATTTAACATTTTAATTACAAATGAAAACCTCATAATGACAAAGTAAAAATGTGTTTTTAGGAAACTGGCTGAGGAGAAATACCAGGAGATCCACACCCGCAGGAGAGAGCTGAGGAGCCGCCATTTTGAAAGAGTCAGTCTGGATGTGCTGAACGTAAGAAACTGTTTTTGTGTTGTTTTCGGTTCACGCCTTCAGACGGCTTCTCTTCAGGGTTTAAACCTGATCTGAACTCTGCTGTTGTTTGTGATTCAGTGGAAGTTTGACATCAGAAAAAAGTCAATTAGTCCTTTTAATTTAACCAATAGGAGAGCGGAGGGGGCGGAGCCTGTCAGAGCTGGCCAATCAGCAACCAGGAGCCAATCCAGAAGCAGGACGAGTCAGAGGCAGAGCTGCCAGGTGAGAAAACCTCGTCTTCCAAAGATCTGGAGACACAACAGCTGTTGTTTATAGTTTTTATTTCAGACACAATACTGACTCAGTTCATTCATTTCACTCGACACATTTTTGTCAGTAGCCACAATGATGTTTTCTGTTTTTATTTGATCACGAACGGCATTAATGAATAGCGACATGAACCCAAGAGATAAGAGGTCATAACATTTTATGTGGGAGACTTAACAAAAGGATGACAAAGAGAAGCAAAACAATAGCAAAGATGCACAAAACAACTATAAAAAAAAGACAGAAAATGTCTCCAAAGAGAAACACAATGACTAAAAAGAGATTTACAGAGATGCAAAACAACCAAAGACTAAGATTGAACAGATTTAAACATCCACATTTCACAAAGCTTAAAATCTGAATTCAGTTCACCGGAATCACACTGAATGCTCTGTCTGCTGCTGTGAAGTTTTAAACCAGGTTTCCTCTGAGACAACGGCGCTGATAAAGATCACAAAGCTCAGCTGCTGCCACCTTCTCACTGGACAGTTAAATTACAGTCTCCGTATGTCATCGAGTGTTTTTTTTAATAAGCTCCAAGGATCAGTTTGCGATTTGTCTTTGGATTCATGTTCTGTCACTGATGTTGCTTAAATAAACCGAGCAGCCAGCTCGAACTAATGAAATTTACAGCTGGAGTGAAGCAAAAGCTCCGGAGATTTCTGCATTTCAGCGACTTAATCATGTGTTTATCTAGAAAAGCCTCTCGGAGCTGCGAGGTATTAAAGAGGCCATAAGTCATGAATCTCATTAAAACTAGTGTCACGTCAAGCGTTTGGTTCAGATGAGACAAAGAACTTCTGATATGTCTTTTTTGTTATTGGGCTTTAATTCCCGGAGCTTTTACTGGTTTATCAATTAGCGGTCAGAGCTGAAGACGAACGCTGCATTAAAAATTAATTAAAGTTGTTTTTTATATTTGGTGGAATGTAGTGAAACAGTCAATGAAACATCAGTTCAGTTCTAAACACTGTTTCTCCTCTAATGTGCTTTGAACACAGTGAAACCAAAATGGAAATGATAATTTGACCTCTAAGGAAAACTCATATTATGAAAATAGGTCACAACACAATGATTCATATATATAGTTGTACTTTTACCAGAAAGATTAGATTTTATGACGCTGCGCTTCTTAACATCCGTCGATGTTAAAATAGATTTTTTCATTTGATCTGAACATTTGGAGTTAAAGCAGCTTCATATTTGGGCTACGGCTGAGTCTCTTGACCAGCAGCTTCCAGCAAACTTTAGTCTCCCGACGACTTAAACCAGCTGCAAAAAAACAAATACTTCATGTTTCGTCTGGAACTTCTGAGACTCCCCGAAGTTCTCTGGAGAACCTTTAAGGTCCCAGGACTCAGTTTTAGGAGGCGCCTGTCTGAGATCTAACAGGACGGATTAATAAATGAAGCCTTTGAAGTTTTTTCAATCCAAGTGAGACGTTGAATGAGTGAGAAGCTCAGCAGGAGGAGAGACGTGAGTCCGACGCTCCTGCAGGGAGTTCACACATAAACTAATAAAAACCCAACGGAAAATTTGTAAATGGAGTGAAAACAGCTGATATGTTTTCATGAATGCAGATTTAATTTAGATTTTATACGGTTCTCAGCGCTGAACAGGCTCCGGGGCCTCTAACACAGAAAATACTGATTTGTATCAGGAAAACAGAGCCCGAGTTAATTCGGTGTTTTCATAGTTTTGAACTTCACAGCATCAGAAAAGAGGTCGTTTCCCTGCAGCAGTCAGGAGCAACGTGTTCCTCATTTGCTATTCATTCAGCTTCATGTCTCCCTGCGGAGTTTGATGCAATCGGCTCTCGGAGTGAATCAGCCGGTGAACAGGTGAGTTAGGATGCAGCTGCAGGTTCGACTCTCAGACCTTCCGAGTTTCGCTCCGCACGATTTTAGAGTCGGAGGAAAATACTGATGAGACATTTAGCTCGTTACTGAGTTCATAAAGGTCTGATTGCATCCAAGCGCTCAGGGACACATGATGAAACTCCACAGTTCCTCTGCTCACTAACGAATCCGGAACGGAAAGTAAAAAGTCAGTTTGGAGAAAATGTAAAATTAAAATGATAATGTGAGAAATGTTAATTCAATTTTAATGTTTTTCCTCAAACATTAACATAATGCACTCCTTACGGGCGAACCAGTTCTATACATAATTGACTAATTTAGCTAAAATGTAAACTTTTCCTTTTTTAAAACTTCATATTATTTCCATAAGCTCCTGATCCTTCAGAAGAGCACAAAACATCCTCGTTTTCTTCAATTGTCTGCTCCAAAACAATTCTTAGGTTAATTATCAGTCAAACAATCCGTCCAAATGCACAAATGTTTGCACTTTGAAAAATGTGCCCAAATTAAATATTCTCTAAACAAACAAACAAAAAAAAAGTAAAGCTCTCTACTTTAACTTTCCCTAAAACCTGCCGACAGGTTTAAAGAGCCACGTTTTCTTAATTATTGGCCTTTAAAATGAAGACTGATGTCATGTTTTCAGCCATAAAAGTTCCTGCAAGTGTATAAATGTGGACGAGTTCTCACATTTTATTCATGCTTTTCTAATGTTAACACGTGTCTTTCATATTTTTTGGGCCATTTTTGAACATTTTGTCATATTTTATCAGATTTTTTTTGATAAATTATTTTTCTGACAATTATGATGTTTCAATGTTATTTGACATTTTAATTCCATCCTTTAGACATTTTTTCTGCCTTTGAGCAGTTTTCTGACTGATTGTTGTTTTTATTTTTTTGAACAAGTTTATAACTTAAATAAAAAAAAAAATCTGATGTTTTATTGACTTGATGACATCATGTAACTCCTGCTTTCGGGCAGTTTTCTGACATTTTATGAACTAAAACATCATCTGAGGAAGTATTTTTACACTTTGTCTGAAACTTTTTGATACGTTTCTTTATAATTTATTGTTTTTCAGACAAATTTTGTTTTATTTCAACTTTCATTAAAAGTTTTCTGACATTTTTGTGACATAACTTCCTCGAGATTTTTGCATAATTTACAATTTTCTTTATCGATATTTTCTCTGACATTGAATCCATACGAGCTGATCGGTGGCTCGGTGTTTTGCACCGTCATTAGGACACCCGGGATCTTTCTGCGTGGAGTCTCCATGTTCTCCCCGTGCAGTGTGGGTTCTCTCCGGGTTCTCTGGCTTCCTCCCACAGTCCAGAAACATGCTGAGGTTAATTGGTGATTCTAAATCGTCCGTAGGTGTGAATGTGAGTGTGCTTGGTTGTCTGTCTCTAAGTGTAGCCCTGTGATAGACTGGTTACCTGTCCAGGTGAACCTGCCTTCACCCTGAGTCAGCTGGGATAGACTCCAGCCCCCCATGACCCTAGTGAGGATGAAGGTGTGTAGATGATGGATGGATGATTGAGGTTCTTGCTGTTTTTCCAGATTCTTCCCAAACTGCATCAAAATGTCTCTGATGTTGTAAAATGTCCCCAATTTTTCACAAGTTTAGTCACAAAACAAACCTTCTACTTTTTAAAAGAACAGTTTGTTCATGTTAACAGCTGCCCAGTTGTCCTAAATAACAATTTGATCTACAAGAACACAGAATCTGAGCTGGAAACCACCTGCTTTTCCTTGAAGTGCTTCATAATTTGCTTCATATTTATCAGCACACTGTCCAACACAAGCTTCAGATCGTCACGTCTCTGCAGCCTTTCATCCGATTTCAGATCTTCAGCCTGTCCAGATGTTTGCAGCTTTTCTTCTGCTCCTCAAACAGATTTTGTTCTCCGGAAGCTGGACTCGACCTGAACAGACCAGAACCTCAACAGACACACAAACAGTCCAACACCTGAGTGATGTCACATGGCGCTGGAGCTCAGCCAGTCAGCTTCCAGAGAGCGACTGTTAAAATATCACTTCACAGATGGTTTCACAGCTTGTTCACAATTTGTATGTATTAAGTCATCGTAGCCACACAGCTTAGAGAATAGAAAGTGACACACAAACCAGTTTCCATGTTGCAAAAATAATCCTAAATATAAGCTGACATCTTGTTTACAGACACGATGAATAGTTTTAGCACTTTTATCCTCTTAACTCTGACCAGTTTACTTTTATTTTTCCTCACTGTGGGCTCATTTTTCACTGCAACATAAAGTTCTGCACCTCTATGGAAACAGAACAACCACGGCTAGAAGGAAAGAACCGGAAAACGTCTTCTGTACAGCGTGATGCCGTCAGAATTACAGAAATGAGAATAACAGACATATTTTACGGAAGCCGAGAGCGGTCGTTTTCCGCTGCTGTTCTTTCTTCGCCGTTTTCTGGAGTTAATTTTCTGGTTATCTTGAGATAACAAGAATCGTTTTTCTCGTGAAAACGAGATAATTCATCTCGAGAAAACCAACTTTGTTCAGCCTGTGTCAGACCTCAAGAGAAGTAAAGTCTGATGCGTTCATCAATGACAGATGATCCTCAATCTGACATTTTCAGCAAAGTCACTGCTGCACTCCAGAGCGTCACTCGTTTCTTTGTGAACACAGGCATCAGTATCCAAGGATAATTATCTCGTTATCTGGAGAAAATGTCTTTTAAAAAAATGTGCCGCCATGACTGCTCTCGGCTTCTGTAATATTTCTTTAATTATTTATGTTAAAGAAATGTTAAAAACAACAACAACAACCTTGAAACAACATAAACAAACATGTACTACCACCACTGGAAGAACATTTTGCATCACGTTTTGTTGATTTAGTGACTTTTTGTGGTCATTTTGTCACATTTTGCATCTTTTCTTTTGCATCTGTTTTGCAAAAATGTAAAAAAAAAAACAAAAAACAAACAGTTCAACTTATTTCAACCGAACTGAGAAAAACATGGAGGCTCCACATACGATGCATTCTTAGCTATTTACATCTTTAGAGTCTCTACAGACTCTGAGCGACCGTCTTGTCTCCGTTCTTGTTGTTTTGTGTCTCATTTTGTCTCGTCTTTATAATTTCTTGTTTCCCTTTTTGTCATTTTGTCCTTGTTTTCTCGTTTTGTACCGTTTCATATCTAGTTGTTATCATTTGGTTGTTTGATGCCTTTGGGACGGTTTTGTCTCTTTATGCTTGTGTCGTCTTTGTCTGTTTTGTGTCCTTCTTTATTCTTTGTGGTCATTGTGTGTCTCCTTATTGTTGATTTTGTCTTGCTGCTGTTGTTTTATGTGTCTTTGTGACTGCTTTGTGTCACCGTTTGTCTTTGAGATCATTTCGTTTATTTGTGGTTGTGTTGTCTCATCTTTTGTCATTTTTTTGTCTTGTGTTTCTTGTTTCGTGTCATTTTCTGTCTTGTTCTTGTCATTATGGCTCTTTGTGGTATTTTTTCCTCCTCATACTATAGATATTTAGTTATTTACAGTTTTATAGCCTCTACAAACGATCTGGTTTAGATGCTTTACGTCTGGAGAGTTTTTACGTGACCCATGTCGAGTAAAGAAATGGTTTGATTTTAAGCTTAGAGTCAGATTTAGGAAAGTGAGTTGAAGAAAAAAAACTTTCTGGCTGTTAATCGTGTTAATTTGGTTGATTTTTATTGATTTTATGGTCTTTTGTGTCACTCTGTCGTCATTTTGTGTGTATTTCTGGTTATTTTGTGTCTTTACAAACATTTTTAGTCTCATGTTGTGTCTTTATGCTCATTTCATTTTGTCGATTCTGTGTTTTTACAGTTTCTGGCTGATATATGGTGTCATTTGGTAACTTTTTCAACTTAAACTCAGGCTTGTGGCCTTCAGAGGGTTAAAACAGCTTGTTGTGCTGCATCAGATTTGTCTTTGGAGTCACATCTCTGTTGTTGACTAATTGTCGTTGGGATGTTACTTACTCTGTGATTTACGACTTGAAAGAAGCACACATGTCAGTTTGTGCTGCGCTTTTTCAGATGTCAGTGTGACTTGTTGTGTTTCTAAATTCTTCCGAGTGCCTTTGATCCGTTCAGCCTGAGTTTTGGCCTCCCGGCTGTCACCGACTGAATTCGTTTTTCAGGTGGATCTTTAAAGAAAGCAGCCTGGAGCTCAACAGCTTCGTTCTTTATTTATAGAACCTTTTGTTTTTTACAGGTTAGAGCACAAAAAAGCACCGACAGGAAACAAGTCAGATTTGGATGCAAGTTCAGCTGTTTGTCTTTTTTCTTTCTCGCATATAATTTTCTTATAAATATGAAATGTGTGCGTCAGACTGAGGAGATGAGATCTGCAGCTCAGTGTTTCTACATCGTCTGCTACGGTCATTCTCTGTCTCTTTGTGGTGGTTTTAGTCTGTTTGTTGATGTTTTGGGTCTGTTTGTAGGATTGTTGCATCTCTTTGTGGTGGTTTTGTGTCATTTTTGTGGCCATTCTGTGTCTTTGCAGCCATTTTGTGTTGCTTTGCGGTTATTTCGTGCTTCTTTCTGGTAGATTTGTTTCTCTTTGTTGTGTTTTTTTTGTCTTATTTTTTTTGTTTGCAGTTGTTTAATTGTGCTTTTGTTAATGCGGTGCGCTTCTGTGCCTTTAAAGTAGTAGTTTTTACATTACAGTTGTACTTTTTGGTGAGATGTTTGTGTCTTTGTGATAACATTTTCTCTGTTGTGCAGCTGTCTTGTGTCTGCACTAGTTTTGCATCTTTCGTGGTTGTTGTATGAAATGTTTGTGGTCATTCGGTCTGCAGCTGTTCTGTGTGCCTCTTTCTAATAGATTTGTCTTTGTGGTGATTTCTGTCAGATGTTTTGTGTTTGCAGCCAATTTTATTTTTGCTTTAGTGAATGCAGAACACTTCTGTACATTTAAGGTCGTAGTTTTATTCATGAATTTGTTACTGAGTGTTTAAATGAGAAGTTTATGTCTTTGTGGTAGAGTTTTGTCTCTTTGTGGCCTTTTTTTTTTGTCTTTTTGGAGTAGTTTTGTGTCTGTTTGTGATGGTTTTGTCTGATATTTGGAATCATTTTGTGTTTTTGCAGTCGTTATGTGTTTATATGTTGCAATGACACGTCCAGTCCGTAGTCGGACGTAGCTACCGTGACGTCACCCGTTGGTTTCTGCACTGAGAACATGAAGCCAGGGTTTTGCTACTTCCTGGTTGACATCTTGGATTTTTGGAGCCAGTGACGCAAAAGTCGTGGGAGGGGGGCGGAGCCATAGGAGCAGCGATTGGTCAGACGGATTGAGAGGCGGGCCCTCTCTGCCCCGCCCACATTTACCGCCTTCTGCTCACTTCGTCTGTATGGTCGCTGCCGACTGTCAATCAAGCCAGCCACGCCCCTTGCCCCGCAAAATGTTGACGACTTTTTAAAGAATTCAGTATTGATTTATTTTCAGATTGACCACCTGATCTCTGGATTTGACCATGAAAACTAATAATAAAAAAATCCTGAGCTGGAGGAATGCAGTATTTCATGATCTGTGATCACTTCTTTTCCAGTTCCAGTCTATGGGAGCCAGGGCTTTATGGAGCCAGCAGCTAGTGGACATAGTGATACTGCAGGTTTTTGACACTTCTGGGTTGGCTTCATTTTTCAGGGCGAGGTTTTATTTCAGATCATTTAAGCATATTTTATCTTCATAAAGTTGAGTTCAGGATGGGTTTTTTTTCTCAGCCTCTCTCAGGTGTCTCTTTGTTCCGTCAGAGTTTCATTTAAATTCCCAACACATCTCCCAGAGCCCCGCCCTCTACCTGATCCCAGCCACCTGATTGGCTGGCGGGGGAGGAAGAGAGCGCGTCGGACCTCAGAGACGCCATGAATTAAACATGGTGGGTCTTTAAAACTCTCCGAGCTCGTTAGCAGGAATAATTATCCAACTGAAACAGATTAAATCCATCAAGACTGAAGACTCGGGGAGTCGATTCTGCTCATCGGCTCGTCATTTCGGCTAATTTAACTTTATTTTTCACTTATCAGACTCATGCGACCCGTCGCTCTGTGGGTGTTTTAATATATAAGTTCACATCACGGTCAGGATCTGAATAACGAGTTAAAGGGAGAACTTCTTCAAATCTGATTAAACACTGAAAGATCAGCAGCCAGTTATATTCCAGCTCATTTTACTGCCTTTACATGTTGTTTCGTTTAATTAAAGTCTGTAAATGTCAAAACAAGTGAAGTTTTTTGAAGGTGAGCAGCACTTCAACCCTCATGTGTAGACTTCTGAGCGCTCTAAATATATTAAATTATCAGTTTATATGTTATTTAGTTTACAGGTTTTGTCTCTTTCTGGCACTTTTCTTTGATTCTTGTGTCTGTTTGTGTCCATTTATGTCTTTCTGCTTATTTTGTGGTCAGTTTTTATCTCTTTGTGGTTCCTTTAGATCTGCGAGTCTTTTGTTTTTTGGTCATTTTATATGTCTTTGTGGTGCTTTGTTTCTGTTTGTGGTGTTCTTTTGTGTCTGTTTGTGGTTGTTTTGTGTCTGTTTGTGGTCATTTTATGTCTCAGTTGTCGTTTTGTTTCACTTTGGTCGGTTTGCATGGATTATGGGCTTCATTTGTGCCGGTCATGTGTCTCTTTGTGCACGTTTTGTGTCTCTGTGCACGTTTTGTGTGTCTTTGCAGCTGTCTCACGTCCGTTTACTGTGATTCTGTGTCTCTGTCGTTGTGTTCTGACTATTTGTGGTCGCTCTGACGTCACTTTGGAGCTTTTGTGTGTCAGTTTGTGATACGTTTTGAGCTTTTTGTGGTGGTTTTATGTGATTTTTGTGATCATTCCTGTCTTTTTATAGTCAGTGTGTGTCTCTTTGTCGCGACGTTGTGTCTCGTTGCAGCTGTTTTGTGTCAGTTTGTAGTTCTTTGTTTGTTGTTGTGTTGGTTGTGTCTCTTTGCAGCTGTTTAATGTCTATACTTTGCATCTGTTTGTGGTCATTTTGTGTCCCTTTGCAGCGCCGTTGCATCTGTTTGTTCTGCAGGAACACTGAATCCCTGAACACTCGCGTCTGTTTGTGTTCATTTTGTGTCCCTTTGTATCTGTTTGTTTGTTCTTTGTGGTCGTTTTGCGTCTCTTGTGGCCCATGTACGTTTGCGTCCCATCGTTTTGCAGCCGTGTTTCATCTTTATCGCCACTCTGTGCTTGTTTTACAGGAATCCCGGAGGACCCTCGGGCCGCTGAAGCTTATTACAACCAGGACGGATTCGACTCGTGTTCGGAGGACGAGGAGTCGCCTGCGGAGACTCTCTACCTGTCCGACCCACAGGTGAGTGCTTCACCTCTGAATCCATGAAAACACACACACACACACACACACACACACACACACACACACACACACACACACACATGGAAACGATGCATGAGAGATGATGTGAAAAGAAACACTCAGCTCATCTGCGTTATTATCCCGTCTTACAAAGGCCACATTTTATTATGTTCAGCTCCCTAATTAGGGCAGCAGGGTGTAATGTGTGTGTGTGTGTGTGTGTGTGTGTGTTAGCAGGGATTAACATGAAACTCACAGTGAGGAGTGTTTTTTTGCGGCCGTGGAGGAGCTCCTCAGCTGGTTTTCTTGTGTTTTAGCGTGTTTGGAGTCACATTACCATAATTGTCTCACACTGAGCGGAGCCTCGTAAAGCCTCTAATTAGAGCCTCAAACACACACAACGCAAGGACGCGCCGTCCCGACCCGCCGCTAACTAAGACACACACTATTAGCAGCTTATTTACTGCCCACCAAAACATTCAATCAGTATTAATATATACAGTCGGCGTGTATTTTTAAAACCGGAACTCTCGGCGCCTCAGCAGATGAAATAAAGATGAGAAATAATAATCCAGCAGTTAGACGTGCTGAGGCTCAAATAGAGAATCACACTGAAGGAATCGCCACCAAAGTTTTAAATCATTTTGCACATCTATTCATATTTTGTGTTTCTTTGTGACTCGTTAGCGTCTTTTGGTTTTATTTTGTGTGTTTGTTTTTCAGCCCTTTATTGAAGGTTTTTGTCATTTTTCAGCTGTTTTGTGCATAATTTGGTGAATCTGAAGTAGTTTTGCACATCTCTGGTCATTTCGATTGTCTTTGTGGTCCGGTTTTGTGAGGATTGTGTGTAGTTCTAGTAATTTTGAATTACTGCATGATTATTTGTTCATGTGTTGTGTCTTTGTGTGTTTGTTCTCAGTCTGTTTGTGGTCATTTAGTTAGTTTTTGTGGTATTTTTCTGCATTTCTAGTAGTTCTCGAATAATTTTGCGCAACTGTTTTCATTTTATACCTCTTTGTGTCTCTTGGTTGTTATTTTTTGTCTCTTTATTGTCATTTTTGTGAGTTTCTTTTGGTTATTTTGTTTGTGATTCTAATAACTATAAAGTAATTTTGCACCTCTGTTCTCATTTTGTGTCACTTTGTCGTCCTTTTGTTTGTTTTTGTGTTTGTTTTGTTTGCATTTCTAGTCATTTTACAAGCCTGTCCTCGTTGTATTTGCTATTGTGGTCGTTTTCAGCCCTTTAGTCATAATTTGTTGTCTTTTTTCTGTTCTTTTTATGTATTTCTAGTATTGGTAAAGTCTCTGCGGCCAATTAGCATCCATTGGTTTTATTCTGTGTCCTTGTGTTCAGTTTGCAGCCCTTCGTTATGCGTTTTTTGTCATTTTTTTGAATGTTTTGTGTATATTTCTGGTAAATTTACACATTTGTTGTCATTGTATGTGTTTTTGTGGTTGTTTTTTATAGTTTTTTTTTGCTTTTTTGGCCTATTTTTGTCATTTTGCATCTGTAGTCCTTTTGCAGTTCTTTGCTTTTTGATATTTTACGGTTGTTTTGTTGACACAAGACAATTAAATCACATTTAAAGTCCAACTGAAGATGAATAAAACTGATAAAACAGAACAATAAAAAACGTTGTGCAGCTCAGAGTTTAAACTTTAACCAAACTGAGCACATGCCGGCTGATTCCTGACTGCAGGACAACCAGGCAAAGAAAATCCTCTATAAATCTGAAACATGTGGAAAACAAGAAGAGAGAAATGCCACCAATTTTCACTTTATCAAAATCAGGGTTTTGTCACCGAGTGGAGGATTGTGTCCAGCTTCAGCCAATCAGTGTCAGAAACACACACACACACATTCACACATGGAGGCCTTCAGCTAAAAGACGAATCAGATCCCATTTCTGGGAAGACGGCGCCTCTGCATCCCGGGACGATTACGTCTAATTTATAACCGAAGGGACGAGTCCCATTCGATTCATGCGGGGAGAGAGAGAGGCAGCGCTGTGAAGGCCAGCAGCCAATTTGTGGCTGAGCTTCAGAGAAAGTGGGAGGCTGAGAGAGATTAAACCTATTTGTCACCGCTGATAGTAATGACAGAAAACAGAGCAGAGAAGAAGAGAAGGGATGGAGCCGGATAATTAGTGGAGCTGAGAGGCCGAGGCGGAGATAAACCCGCTGCATCTCTGAGACTGACGGGACGAGACTCTGGTCACATCTCAGCGTCTAATGGGAAAACCTGCTGGATTTGTTCTGGTCGCTGCAACAGAACTGGGCTGTTTTGAATAAGAAGCTGTTGTTAAAGTTAAACTTTATCCAACAGAATGAGACAAAGTGCTCCACGAATCCCATGCAGTCTAAAATAAAGACTGAATATGAGCTTGACATTACAAATACTGAAGTTCATACGACAAACCTTCCTCTGGAACAAAGTTTACGCTACATTCAGGTTAGTTTTCTGTAGATTTGGTGCTGATTGAGGCCGATCCACACAGGCTCAACACGGTAACTGCAGCCAAAGGTGCATCTTCTAGATACTGACTTTAAGAGCCTAAATACTGATGCAGTCATTTTATATTTTTTATTGACTGACATCACTTTGTTGAAATCTGTTTCCACTTTGACATGAAAGAGTCTTTTCTTGTAAATTTTATTTATTTTATTTTTTTTGGTAAAATCTAAATTATTTTGACCATGAATCAATATTAAAAAGCAATAAAGGAAAGAAAAACAAATTTATTATAATTTTTTCTTTTTTTTTTCTTTTTTGTGTGCTCCAGTGATTTAGGGACTCTGTCCTAGTTGAGTCCAGTTGGGTCTTTTTCAGTTATTTAATCAATATTTTTAGGACATTTTTTAGGTCTTTTGTTAATATTTGTAGTTTTTTTTCCGGACAATTTTAAGTATTTTTTATTTTACAACGTGGTTCCTGACCGCCTACAGAACATTAAGGAACAGCCTGGGTGCAGAAATGCTTTTTATTTATTTAGTTATTTTTTGATTTTGGAACATTTTATTAATGTTCTTAGATTTTATAATATTTTGGGGATTTCTCTGACATTTTATTCATAGAAAAATAGTATCAGATTGAGACTTGGTATCAGGACTAAATATGAAATGACTTGGATTGGATTGGGGGTAAATAAACTTGATCAGGACATCAGTGGAGGACATTGAAGTGTTTTGCGTGGGGTCTGAATATCTCTGCTGGACCTTCATATCCAGCCCTGCAGGCTGCAGCTTGGTCTGATCCTGGTTTCTGAGCTCTTTCAGGCTCTGCGGTGTTCAGACGAGGCCTTTCTGGTTTTAGAGCTGACGAACTGTGGCTCTCTGCTGTTCTCTCCTCACCTCCTGATGAGCTCCTCCTTCAGCCAGCTCGTCTGAGAGTCAGACTTCAGAGACAGCGTCCATCAGCGACACTGGAAACATCACAAACATTCACCTGTGTTGTGTTGTGTTGTGGCGGCGGACCGTTAGCGTCGCGTGACAGAGTCTCCTCAGTGTGTGAACAGAAATGAAAGCCATAAATGTTCCTGAGTGATGAGCACAAACTCCTCCGTCAGTTATTACAGCCTACAGAGCTGACGGTAACAAAGAAGGAAAGCAGGGGTCTCAGTTTATTGTCGTAGAAAATGAAAAATAATATTTATTATTGGTTCAGCGGCGGCAGAGTGAAAACCTCCATCCTCCACTTTGGGCTCCCTCAGGACGTTAACAAGCTGCTGCTGCTCAGACTGAATGAGTTTCTGCTCTGTGGAGGGTTTTACTGTCCAAAGCACACAAGCTGAAGGCTGAATGTTTGATGGCAGAAGCCTGTAGATGGAAGCGGCTAATCAGATTCAGGTTTGACAGCAGCTGCTCCTGTAACCGTGAGACGGACCTGCGCAGGTTCTGCTTGTTGTTGTAGATCTGCAGCAAAAGAACTCATTTCATTTGGTGTCACGTTTTCTCTTTTTTGGTTGTTTTTGTTTCCAGTAATTTTTTTTATCTGTTCCAATATTTTTTCTTTTTTTGTGGCTGTTTTATGTGTTTTTGTTCAATGTGAAGACATTTTGATTTTGAGGGGAAAGTTTTGTGTCTGTTTGTGGTCATTTTTTGTCTGTTTTACTTGTTTTTGTATGTATTTTTTTTAGTAATTTTGCACATCTGTTTTGGGGTTTTTTGTCTTTTGGGGGATGTTTTGTGTTTCTGTGATAATTTTTTTATCTGTTTGTAGACATTTTTTTTGAAGTTTTGTGACTGTTTTAATGTCTTTGTGATCATGTTGATGATCTTTTTTTTAATTTGTGTCCATTTGTAGTAATTTTTTGTCTTTTTTTGCTTGTTTTTGTCGGTGTTTCTAGTAATTATACACATCAGTTTGTCTTTTGGGGCCTGTTTTGTGTGTCTTTGTGATTATTCTGCATCTATTTGAAGACATTTTGATTTTGGGGGGAAGGATTTGGAGGAATGTTTTGTCTTTTTTTACTTGTGTTTTTTAGTTTTAGCTTAGCTGTCTTTTGGGGTGTGTTTTGTAAGCCTTTGTGATGGTTTTGCATCTGTTTGTCGACAGTTTGGGGGGAAAAAATGCTCACTTTTTCTCTTTATTGGCTGTTTTTGGGAATGTTTTTAGTAATTTTGCACATCAGTTCTATTTTTTGGTGAATTTTGTGAACATTTATCATCAGTTTAAAGACATTTTGTGTCTCTTTGTGTCGCTCTGTGTGTATTAACCAACTACACAGATAAACATTTAGATTTTTTTTTTTTCATTTTTAATTGTCTGTGTTGCTTGAAATTCCAGAAACTGCAAATTGTAAGATTAACTTTGTTGTAATAGATGATATATTTGGAGTTGGAGACAGAAGCTCTTCCTGAGGATGTTCGTTTGCGGTTGTTTCTTCAGGTCAGCGAGCTGGAGGCCATGATGAAGCACATGCAGGACGTTCTGGACGAGGAACCGAGCGGTGAGTCTGAAAACGCTCCCCTCATGCAGTTCTGTGCAAACACAGCTTCAGTTAAAGCAACCGACACATCACACAGCTGGAAACAGACTCCAGCTCAGCGTCGAAGCTCCGCTGTGAACACAAATCAAACATTTATCAGTTTATTAATGCTGATGCTGAATGAGTTTCTATAGAAACTGCAACAAGGGGGAATATGTACAGACACGCTTCACACATGTGCCCCAGAAAACCTGATAGCAGCAGAAGAAGAAGAGCTGTCAAATCAAAGGAGGAAACTGTGTGGAGCTGCTGAACAATAACAGGATGTGGAGTACAGTAATAATGATAATAATCGTATTCATGAAGCTTCAGCACAAAGTGTTTTCCAAAGAATGAAAAACTAGAAACAAATGGACGTTCCACAAAAGAGATGATTTCATTTAAATAAATAAGTAAACGACAGACAAAGGACGCTGCAGCTTGAACCCGTTCTTCATTGTACAGCTGTTCAGACGCTGTCAGCTCACACAGGAACGGTGAGTGAACAGCACTTTGCAAGTCCAACCACAAAGTTGGATTGAGCTCTGGACTCGGCCACTCCAGAAATTTCCCTTCGTTGTTTCCCTCCAGGATTTCTCTGTACTTTGCTGCATTCACTTTATCCTCTAGCTTTAAACCTTCCAGGGCCTGTTGCCTAAAAGCATCATGATGCTGCCCCCGCCGTGCCTCATGTGTCTGGAATGATGTGCAGTGTTTTGTGTTGCATTTAGTCTGGTCCACCTACGTAGCATCAATCGCCTCCGCCCCACACTGCTGCCATCCTCGTCCACGGTCTGGATTATTGTAATTTTCTCTCCTCTTTGGTCTCCCTCACAAATCCCTCCATAAACTTCAACTGGTCCAGAATTCAGCTGCCCGCATCATAACCTGAACCCCCTCGATCCACCACGTCCCTGCTGTCCTCCAACAGCTCCACTGGCTTCCAGTTCAGTTCCACATCCAATTCAAAATCCTCCCATTAACATTTAAGGCCATTCACAAACCTCTCTGACCTCCTCCATGTTCACACTCCCTCCAGCTCCCTCAGATCCTCTTCCTCCATACACCTGACCGCCCACGGGGAGCAGAGCATGCATCCATTCACTCCCACAATTCAAATCACAACTCAGAGCTCATCTGTTTAGGACTTCCTGCTCCACCTGAATGTCCTCGAGTCCCAAGAAAGGCGCCTCTAAATAAAACGTATTATTTTTATTTATTATTACTTTTTATAGGAGCTGTAGCTGCCGAGGACAGACACACATGTTTGTGTTCACTGAGGTTATTTGAGGTTCTGTCTCAAAGTGAGGACCAGACAAGATGCCCCCACAAGCTCTAGAAACCAAATCAGTCCTCACAAAGATGGCTGTGCAGGTGCACTCTCTCTCCGTCCTTTTCTTTATCATGATTCCTCCTTGTGTCCCCAGCTCTGAAACCCTCCTTCTCCTCCTCCTCCTCCTCCTCCTCCTCCTCCTCGTCTCCTCCTCGTCTCCTCAGCCTTCAGTTCTCGTTGGCCTGGTTCAGTCAGTCTCTGCTCTGCTGTGAAACCTGTTCGTTTCGCTCCACTGACCTCAGAAAAAACTCAAACCTCCACAGTTCACCTGGAGATCAAACCTCTGCTGCAACGCTCTGCGATGAAACTCGACGCTCTCCGTACGAAGGCAGCAGAAATGTAAAAATAAAAGCTGCAACACGATGATGAAACAGCTCTACCAGAACCTAATTAATTAGACATTTGGGAAAATCCTCTTCTTGTGTTATTATCTGTCTGATCTTTTTGTCTCACTACTTCTTGGACATAATGAGCTGCACAGGCTCTGGATCTGCTATAAGAACCAGCCTCTGGATCCCGTATCGACTCTTATTAGTTTACTAAACCAATCAGCGTTATCAGCATTAATTAAGGAGTCGATATTCTGCTCTGTTTCTCGCCCTTTCCTTCGGTGTGCTGCTTTGCTGCGAGTGTTGAAGGTTTGTAAACTTGAGTGAAGTCGTTGTGGACGAGCTGGGAGTTGCTTGGTACAATTTTTAAGTCATTGTGGATAAAATTTAAGTTACGTTTAGCAACTTGCCATAGTGACCAAGTCTTTGTCGGCTGTCATGGCTGCACAGTTAGCATTACACATTAAATAATCACACAGCAGCTTTTTTATGCATGTAAAAGGTCTGCAGATCCAGTCAGTCTGGACACATTTCTATTCATTTTGGACGAGACATCTTGAATACATTTAGTCATTTTACACAGATGTTTGTTGGAGAGGGGCTACAGGGTGACGCAGTTGGTAGCACTGTTGCCTCGCAGCAGGAAGGTCGCTGGTTCGCGTCCCGGTGGGGGCACCGGAATCTGTCTGCGTGGAGTCTCCATGTTCTCCCCGTGCAGCGTGGGTTCTCTCCGGGTTCTCCGGCTTCCTCCTACACAGTCCAAAAACATGTTGAGGTTAATTGGTGATTCTAAATTGTCCGTAGGTGTGAATGTGAGTGTGCTTGGTTGTCTGTCTCTAAGTGTAGCCCTGTGATAGACTGGTGACCTGTCCAGGTGAACCTCCTTCAGCCTGAGTCAGCTGGGATAGACTCCAGCCCCCCATGACCCTAGTGAGGATTAAGCGGTGTATAGATGATGGATGGATTTGTAGGAGATGAAGACTGCAGCACTAGCACCACCCATACAGACACAATACACCCTCTAAATAGTCATTTTGTTGTGTTTCAGTGTGCTGTACAGGGATTTTATAGGTCATTCTGGACAACTTCCAAATCATTTTCTACAGTTTGAGTCATTTTGAATAAGCTACCAGTCAGTTTGGACAAATTTTGCCATTTCGGACGAGACCTGGTCGTAGGTGGAGTCTACAAAGTCGGCATGAGCAGAGACACAATAAAGTTTTGCTCCATTACTTGATGTTTAGTTTTTTGAGTCATTTTGGCCATAAAGAGACAGAAGCTGTCAGACTGAGGAGGAGCTGCAGCAGTGAGGAAAGTAATGTGACTGAACATTACAGAAGGTGAACATGTTCTAGTGGAGCTCAGAAATAACATCACCAACCAGTAAAGGTGCAGAATTAGACTCTTTAACCTGCAGCTGCAACCTGAAAATGCTCCAAACAGCAGAGGACCTGAACTGATTGTTGATTAATATTGACTAAAGTGACAGCGGGACTATTCTGACTCTTACAGACCACTTGATCCGGCTAACGGAGCTCCTGATACTCGGCTCCTATGAGACGTGATCAGATGTTGATCTGACAGCTGAGCAGCTGCAGTGGGACTCGGCTGATCGTCTCTCAGCACGATGTCACAGAGCGACGCGTCTTCACTCAGACAGTCTTTGTCAGGGTTCAGTCACAGATTGCAGGAAGCTCGTTAACCTGCAGGCTGATAGTTAACGGTAATTAGCTGCAGCTGAGATCATCTGTCGCCATTTTTAAAAAAAAATTTTTATTTTAACCGGCAACAGCAACAGACGATGGTCTGAGTGACGAGCTGCTGTTGTTTCCTTTATAACAGACTTTGATGATTTAAAAAAACAACCAGGAGAGATTAAAGATTCCATTAGAGATTCGTTAGCGTCGACTTAATTAACTTCAGCCCAGTTTTACAACAAACTGTGGGATGCTGCCGTGTTTTAGGGGCTGTTCTTGTGACGGGACTCCAACTGACCAACCTGCAATCTAAAAGAAAACATTTCCATCAATCTTTTTTTTTCAGTTACAAATATGAGTTGCTGTGCATCTCCCATTTTTCTCACCACGCTCTTCAAGTTAGTTTTTTTTTTTATTTTTACAAAAAAATGCAGTTTTCTCCAGGCAAGCTAAAGCAACGACAGATCCAAGCAACCTGAAATTCATAAACATAATTTAACTGGTAATCAATGCTGATATTGTAGAGAGAGTAGAAACTAATGCTCAGTCTTAAAATAAATTAATTCTAATTCAGCACAGTGGCAGCAATCTTACTTTTCCAACAAACAATATTGGAAAATACACTATATTACTATTATGGCAAAAAAATTTAAAAAAATACAGCTGGTCCAAACCAAATCCACAGAATGATTCACTGGAAAGGTGGCCACTGAACCATCATTGAATCAAATGAGACAAACTAGTGTTGGTGTCCGTCTGGGTCTGTTTATATGTATTTAATAAAACCAGAGTTCCACTGTCAGGATGCACAAAGTGTTGAGTTTACATGAACGGGAGCAGCTGGACTCACTAAAACCTAATTAAATGTAAAACTAGAAGTCAGAACCTGATCTCTGGGTCTGTGCAGGTGAATCTGAGGAAACAGTGAACTAAATGAAAGAAGACGAAGTTTTCTGTCCGACTCGCTGCAGCTCTGTGAACAGAAAACAACTTATTTTAATGCGTCATTTAGATGCAAATTAAAGTGACGCATTTTCAAATGTTTTGTCTCCAGAATATAAACTGCTGACGTTTAAATTCAGAATGTTCTTCTCTGTAAATCCTTAAATCACCTACGAGGTTAAAAACCTTGAATTTCAGGAGGATGTATACGTGTCTGTCTTTTTTTTTTTTTTTTTTTAGATTGAAACAAAACAACACTTTGAAAATGAATGAGAGTGTATTTATTCATGAATGTATGAAATATGTATGTACATATTTCTGCATGTTTGTGCGCTCGCTGTGGGGCTCATGCATGCTGCCGGTTTCCATGGTTACCGCCAAATTTAATGAAGAAGCCTCAGCTCTCGTGTTGTTTCAGGGTTTATTTTCTCACACGGCAAACGATCCGTTATTTTAAGTCGGAGCTGCTCCACAGAGGAAAATCGCTCCCGTACGGTCAGTTTTTTTTTTAGGAGATAAAACATTTTTGAAGGTTTCTAACCTGTCTGGCCTCCTCGGTATCGTCCATGCAGGCAGAGTTTCTCCCAGAGATTCTCTACCTGCATCTTCACCAAAACAGTCCGGATCCAAATTAGCTCCAAATTAGCTTCAGAGAGAGTTTCTTACTCCCACCAACACCTTCCTCTGTATGCATGGAACTATCACCGTTCTGAGAGTTAAACTAAATCAGGACCATCAGAACAGACCAGCAAAGTGAAGTTTACGGTGACGAATGCAATGAACAGACACACAAAGAGCTTTGGACACATCAGCAGTTACAACATGTCAAACTGAAGTTTTTAGAAGGTGATATTTTTGCTCCTGCAACATAAAGTCCTTCATCTCTATGGAAACAACACAAGAAGAGAAAGAACTGAGAAATGTCGTCTGTGCAGCACGACGCAGTCAGAATGACAGAAATCAGAAAGAAATAATTATTTAATATTTACTTATAATATTAATATGTGAATCAGGTTTTCAACAAATGATTCAGAGCAAATAAACTAAACATTGTAAAAATGTATGATTTTTTTTAACTGCTTTTAACTGTAATTTTGTTTTTAACAAATTACAGTAATTTTACAGATTTTTCCTGTTTTGTTAAATGACAGAAAATGAAACATAGTAACTTACATGATATCATAAAATAATGTAAACCGTGTCCACATCAATAATATGTGTTGTTACAAATAGTAATTAGTTTTTTCATAATGTTTGACCATAATATTACACTGTTGTTGTTGTTGTTTACTTTATTCAAGTCGGGGTAAAAAACAAAACAAAACATTATTTTACAGATATTTACCATTTTTTGGAAAGTAAATTATTTGCTAATATACCAAAGATGGAAAAATTGTAAAATATTCTTTTAACTTTAATTTTCCAGGTTTTTTTAGTTTGGATAAATTACGGATAATGTAGAAAAAAATAAATTTACATGTTGACTTAGAAAAAACATAACAAAAACATAATGTTACATAATGTCCACGTCTAAATCTGTATTTTTTTCAAAGCTAAAAAGCAGCAACATTTAAAAAAATATATTTTTGGATAGTTGTATATTTTTTAATTTTGCCCATTTTTACATTTTTTTTTATACATTACAGTATTCACCTGTTGTTGTTGTTTTTGTTTATTTTTAGAATATTGTTTGGCATCCTTGCTACCAGATTTTTTATATTTTTGACAAGATTTACTTTAATTTATTTTATTTTATTTATTTTACAGTGTATGCTGCCTCGTGTCTTCAGAAGATGGCGCTATAGGTTGTGTTAGCTGCAATAATTATAATTAAAAAAGCCGGAAAGCAAATCTACCTGTTTACCACTGAGTGTGATAATGTTCACATTTTGCTGTTTCCATAATTGTTTTCTGGTTAAAAAAAACAGAAACAACAACTGGTGTTATTGAACCTGTTGTGAAGATTGTCGGCTGCAGTTCTGCCAAATCTGACGACCAGGAACGAAGCAGAACAAAGCAGCACCATTGGTCGATCGTGTCCTCTTGTTTTAGTGATAAATGTTGCTTCAGGGTGGATTTTAGAACCAGCAGAGGATACGTTCTGGTTGCGACGGTCAGTTCATCGTCTGAATCGTTCTCTTGAGGAGTCAAACTAACAGACGCAGCATCAGCAGACTTTATATCCTCAAATGTTTAGTTTCCAGTAAACGGACAAACGGCCTGAAGTGGCTCAGAGGCCGTTCACTTGATTTACTGTCCAGTCTTCAGCTGTTGCGCTGCAGCTCTGAGTCACGTCTGGTGCTTGTAGATGAAGCCTGAAGACAAACAGCAGTAGGTTTAGCTTTATTCAGCTCATTAGATCCAGTCTGAAGGAGAAGACAGAACTACTGAGCTTTATCGCTGCTGCTGAGAAACTCCATCTGAAACCATCAGAGGCCTTCTGCTCCACCGTCTCTGATCCGCCTAAAACCTCTCCTCATAGACTCTGGATATCTGAGACGGTATCTGTGAAGTTTTAGCTGATATATTGATATACTGTCCGGATTTTTTTGTTTTCTTTAAAACCTGCATGTTCGCCCTCTTTCATCAGGTTTGTTTGCACGTCGAAGGTGTTGTTTGGACGACAACATCTCAGGAACCATTAACACTAAGAACCTGAACTTTCACAGTTATTTCTCAGAACACTGATTCAGAATCTGACAAGTAGCTCAAATAATCTGTGATCCACACGGAGCTGCATGTCACAGGAATACAAAACAAAACATGTAGAACACTTTTGATACGAAATATTTGTTCACAAAACTGAAAAGAAAGTTGTTTTTGTTGAGCTG